AAGCAAAATTGTATATTAAAATTAGTCTTACTTAGAAATCGTCATATTCTATTAGATTTATCAAATACCTCATTCTCTATAATTACAGAATATTCCCGATCGCACTCGAGTTCTGATAGATCTGGCTGAGATACTTCGTGAGGTTGTGTAGAAGACTTATCACCCTCTTGTTCTAAATATTCTATATTTTTCATTTCATCAACTTCGTGACTCTTTACACTTTCAAGTATCATATTCGATGTCGTTATTAAATCTCTAAGTTCACCACTAATATCATGATTTTCTGCATCTGTAATTGGTGTCGAAAATTCTTGTTCCGTTATAGAATTACCAAGATTTTGCGCCTTATTTTCTTCAACTTTAGTAGTTTTTCGACCCATGTGATCTGATTGAGTTTGTTGCAATAAAATCGAATCAGTAATTTCGCTTAAAATAGGATCACTTAAACCTTCTAAAGATAAAGCTATTGAACTTTCATTTATTAGCTCACAATTATTTAAACTGGTTCGAGATTCCAAAGAAAGTGAATCAGTCTGTGAATCAGGTTTTTGTGGTGTTTGATTACTTGGACTTCGAGGTATAGGCGGTGAGTTTAGATCAATACGGATATAATTAGAAGTTGTATGTTCAACCCCTGGTGAGGAACCTCTGTAAAGAACACTTTCGGGTGTATGTGAAGTTAATTCGATCGACTCTTGAATTGTTGGAATCGTAGGCGAAATATCTAGCGTAGAATATTCAGAATAAATACTTTGAGGAACGTCAGATAGAAAAGAATCCTGAGTAGGTACAGATTGAACGGTGTTTGTTTGCGAATTTGGAAGGGTATTTGTTTGTTCTGATTGAGAGTTACTTGGTTGTTGAGTATTTTGTAACCAACCCGTATTACTCTGCATATAAGGAGTATAAGTCGATGCTCGAGGCATTATAAACCTTATGAGTATTGTGTACTTTTTTCTTAATTAAATAGGAGACAATACACGTTCTTTTGATTTCCAAATGTGAGTAATTATTTTTAAACAATAAAAAATTTTGTTTGATATATGCCGTCAATCTTATTCAATTTCTGTGGCGCGGCTATTATGACAAGAAAATGATTTTACCGGGAAGAGTACCAAAAAAAAATTATTATATAATAATTAGAACGTCATTAAAAAAAAGATTGATAGTTATTTTTATTTCTTTTTAATACCATTTTTTATTATATTAATTATAAAAGAATGGTTTAATTATTGGTGAATAATTTTAAATTTTATCTTTAAAAAAATTTAATATTTAAAAATTAGTAAAAAAATATAATTTGAATAATATATAATTTATTTTTATTTAATGAAAAGATTATTACCTAATTTATGATTAGATAAACACTCAAAAACTTTATTAATTTGAAAGAGTCTTAATTAAATAAACAAATAGTATTGCTTTTATGCTTAAAAATAGCTTTGATAATTGCATCATTCTTATTTAGCTGGTATTTAATTTCAGCATAATCTTCAATTTATATATAAGTTGCAATCTCATAAAACTTATAAGATTTGTTAATTAGTAATACATGATATTTAAAAGTTTCATAAGCAAGTAACAAATCAAATCAAAATATAGTGATAGTTGTATTTGTCTTAAGCGTTGTATTGTAAACAGATATTGATTTTCTAAGCTTTATATTTTAGATATAGTTAGATCAAGAATATACTATATAATTTTTAATAAAATCATTAGTATTGTTATCTTAATAATTTAAAGATGGTAAACATCATTTTTCTTTTGATTCTTTATTAATAAATAAACCAATTCTTAAATAAATGTTTAGAATTTCATGATATATTAATAAAATTAATACTAGGTTATAAATTTTGAGAATCAAATCCACTATTTGTTAAATGTCAAATAGATTGTAAAGTTATATTCCTTTAACTATTTTGCCTACAAATTTGTAGGCAATTTTATTTATTAATTACAATCATTTTTTAATTATTTTAAAATATTTTAAAATATATTATTAAAAAATTAATATATTTATAATAAATTTTATGATGTTTTAAGTAAAAATTAAAAAAAAGTGTAATTAATTAGTGATTTTTTAAAGATAAATAAATAATAAATTATTATAAAAAAAAATTAAAATTTTAAACTCTTATTTCTTGTTATCTATCAATCTTAGAAATATGAAAATACTACCATTTAATAGGCTTTAATATGATAAATTCAATAAACTAATTTTATATTTTTGTAATTATTAAATAATGAATTATTTTTAAAAATTAAAAAATTAAAAAATTAATATATATTGATAATTATGAATTTTAAAAGTTTAAAAATACTA